GGATGGATGGATGGATGATTGAAAGGACGAATAAATACCAACAACTAAACAAAAAGCAGTAAACAAAATTTAAAAAATAAACATCACAAGAGACGAAGCACCTCCAAACTAATTATTTGCTTACTACCTTACACGGGCCCCAACGACCAGCCCAAGCAGTAATCATTCTCGCTTCTTTCATTCAAAATTAATAATCTTTGCGAAAATTCCAAATTCTGAATATCAAAAACTTCATATATTCCTCATAATGGGACGATAAATTTACGATCTTAATTGAATGGATGCCATTAACCAACACATGGCTTCCAATTAAGTTTTGAGTGCGTGACGTCATCTCCATATTTTCGTTGATAACCGTTCACAGGATATCTCTCTGACATTTTAAACATTCGCATATCAAAGTTCAGATGCTCATTAGCCGAATTTCCAGAGATGAACAACACCACAAGCCCTCCTCAAACGTTTCCCAACCTTTCGGAGATAACTTTCACTGTATTCATGATTCTCATATCACTGATCGGTGCCGTGGGGAATACATTTGTCATTGTCGCTGTCTTGGTAAACAAAAAGCTCCGAAGTACTACGAATATTCTGATTTTGAATTTGTCCGTCGCTGACTTTTTCGTGTGCTTCGTGGCTATCCCGCTTCGAGTTCTGGCGGGAATTGTTCGTGGATTATTATCGTTTATTGAATGTCCTTTCATCTTGTCATTGACGATTTTCTTCGATGGTGCGTCGCGAGTCAACACACTCTTGATTGCACTGGATCGTTTTGGTGCTATCAAGTGGCCTTTTCTTTATATATCTGTGGTGACAAAACGCGCTCTTTCTTGGGTGGTTTTTCTTTGCTGGACGATTATGCTCAACATTGGACTTCTGCCTTTATTTGGTGTCGGTTTGAAGACAAAACCTTCCACGAGTACAATGTGTTTTTTCTTTAATAACCTGTCTACCGAATTCATCTGTTTGTTTGTCTTCGCATTTTGCATTTTCCCACTCATGCTAATCATCCCAATCAACTGCTTCCTCTTCAGAACCAGTTTTAAGCAGATGAAAAAGATTCACGAGCAAAAACTAAGTTTGGGAATAATAAATCCTGCTTGCACAGCTGTCAAGGAAAATTCAAATGGCAACATAGAAAAAGAAAACCAAAAGATCACGTCAAACAGTAAAGCCTCAACTAGTTTAAGAGTGTTAGTTAAGCAAAGTAGAGTAGCGAAAATGGTGACTATTTTGATAGCAAGCTTTATAATTCTAGTTACACCTATTAGCATGATCGATCTGATTCAAACATTTTATCCTGAAGTTGATATTCCTCCGTATGTCTCAAAAATTGCAGTCGGAATGATCTACTTAAATTCAGCGATTAATGTCTTCATATATGCGGGATACAACCTAGAGTTTAGAAAGACGTTTTATTTCATGTTTAGACGAACAAGAGAGCAGTTCTCTAGCGAAGTCGGGCCTTCATCTGTTTCGGGTGTCAGATTTACAAAAACTGGGTCCAAAGATGGTGAAAAAAACAATGTCCAACTGTTGTCGTTCAAAACTATACCAAATCTCTGATCACTTATGTAAATAAATATTTATTCTATAAATTAGGAATTTTTGAAAAGTGAAAGATACAATCTTTTAACATCTATAAAAAAATTCCTCGCAAATATATATAAGTAAAATGAAGATGGTTATGTAGTTATGCTAATAAATTAGTAAAACTCTAAATTTGCAAATGAAAGTTAAGTTATAATTTCATTTTTAACTAAACTTTGTCGAATAAAACATTTGAATTTACTTAGGAACAAAATATTTAAAACAATATATGTTATATGAACACAAACTCCTACAATGTTTTAATTTGTTAATCAACCTGGTGTTAATTTTATTGAATTTTTAAGTGACCAAAAAAATTTATATCAAAGCGCACTTGACTCTTTATGCTTGCCATGGACAGCGAGTTTATTTTCCAAACGGTTTTCATTGGAGAAATAATATTCCCCGTCTATTTGTTCAACACTATTTCCAGAAGCATCCGTTTAAGTCCTTATCCATCCAATCAGGTGCAGTGCCTTATCTATAATTTTCTAATAACTATCACCTCCAGAGGCGTCACATATTAATATAAATGCGTATTAAAAAGAGTTTGTTTTTACAAACTAAAACCAGCGAGAAATGACAGGTGCGGTGGAATAGACCTTTCCCGAACAATGAACTCATTAATCCAACCTCGTCTCCCGGAGACTTCGCCTCTTAGTCAGAACGAATTAGCCAATCAGTGAACATTTTAATCCTTACTCAGTCAATATTCCACAATTCCAGGTTTTGGGCTCAATAAACAACATAGATAGATAGATAGATTCCTCTATTTATACACGGACGTACGTCTTATCAGTAAAAGAACATGAATATAAAATTACACAAAATTAAATACGATAAGTGATAGAGTGCAAACAATATAACCGTAAAACTTTAGTAATACTAAATAGCACAATTTCAAGCAAATTCCATTGTTTTCTAATTGTTTAATTAGCACTATTTTGTACTATTTAGTAATTAGTGTTTCACGGATTAATTGCTTGCACTCTAAAAACAAAATTTGAATAACTGCTTTGACATTAGTGTCGTGTGAAATACTCAAAAATACAGAAAATAGAAGTCATCTGTGGAAAGATTCATCTAATATCTTTTAGAAATGGCATGGCATATTTCTTTGTATTTGGTGGGAAATATTTTGGTTTGACAGAGAGCTAGATAATAAAAAATACTTGGACATTTTCGATACGACTAACAATGCATTGCGCGCCTAGATTCCAAATCACCTGTACTTGGAGTCATTGGTCTTTTAAGCCAATAGGCCCTTTGCAGCTCAGTAATCACGTGCTGATTAATTCACTGAGAGCAAATGAATGAACATCTTGATTCCCATGGGTGAAATATACTGGTGAGCAAACAAAATTTCTACAAACTGTTTCGAGTGATCGTAATGAAATTGCATTTCGTGAAACACTGGATACACATCGTTTCATTCAGTTCTTTACAAGAAGCTAAAAAGAATCACCAATTTAAAATAAGATAAAAAATTTTGCTCACCAGTATAGACACGTGACCGTCCACTGCAAAGGGCCTATTTCACCCAACTTGCTAATTTTATTAAAACACTTAACTTATACTCTATTAGATACTTAATTTTCTGAGCAGAAACAGTGGCGATAGAAGTCATAGAGTTTGCTCCTCGAGAACTCGTTCGGTTCATTTAATAATATTGAGTGTTTTCCATATTTATGGGCTGCACTCGATTCCAATCAATCTTAATATCTCCATTCAATCCACCTATACACCACAGGGAACCCCTATTGAAAGAAAATCGAGAAAAATTGAATCTAATGTTCTTTACTTGAGCTCAAAGTGGCCTCCATAAAGGCCCAATAAATTTCCACTCACAACTAAAAGAATAAACTGAAAATTACGAAAATAATATAAATATGGAAAATGCAAGAGAGAAACCCACGAAGAATTAATTTTATAACGGCATCAAAGTAAATGGTTTGAACCCAGGCTCACAACTTACAACAAAATACTACATTTTAACCAATCAGCGCGCAAGTATAATGCTCAATCAATAGAATTGGACCAACGCGAGACTGGACTACTAATGACGTCATCGCTTCTACCCTTATAATTTCTGATTTGCTTAATAGATGTTAACATAACCTTATTTTGTGAACCATCTTTGACGAGGCAATAACAGCACACGAGATTACTAATCAGCCAATGAAATTGCTCGGATGCGCCACCATCACGGTCATGACGACAGGGCAGAAAAACGGGTTCTAAGCTTTATACTTTATAAACAGGCTCTTTTGGGGCTGATTAACAAAATACCAAAATTTGGGGAAATTTAAGGAATGCGTAGTTGAGATATAACTCCCTGAACGTTGGGAGAGATTATATTTTGATCAGCACAAAAACTAACATTTTCGCTCTGAATACCTCGAAGTAGAATTGCTCGAGGTTAGCAGAATTTTGTGAAAAGTTTAAAGCACAAGAGACACGAATGAAACACTAAACGATTTTTAGCATGAATGATAGATAAAGAAAAAAATTGCGAAAGTAGCAGCCTTGTCGTTTTTGTGCTCTGTCGGTCATTGCACGACACATGATTAATACTTAATAAAATACCCTAAGGCCCCGTCCACACGTACCCTGAAATTTTTGTATCCGCAACTTTTTTTTTGCGAATACGGGTTGCGCCTACACGTGTCCGCAAATTTTTGTGTCCGTATCCGCAAATTTTACGAAAACGGATACGTGTGGACGGTGAAAACGATTCGAATACGCTGCGTGTGGACGCAAACATTTTCGTATCCGCAAAAAATAATTTGCGGATACAAAAATTTCCGGATACGCGTGGACGGGGCCTAAGTTAAAAAAGTCAGTAATTGTAAAAGTATGCTTAAAACTTTTTTTTTTTTTTTGAATCAGCTTTTCATGATTAGAACTTAGTATCATTTATATTTTATTAATTTTATACCTATTACTTTTATTTTTTCACTTAATGATATTTTTTTAAAATTTCTATTTTAATAGTAAGGAAATATTACCTTGTAAATAGATATTAATATTGTATTTTGTAATGCGCACTCGATCATATATTGGCATGTTAGACTGCGCAATATTAAGTTAATAAATATTATTATTCATTATTTTAAATCAATAATAGGTTAATAATATCTTGAGGGATCTTGAGACACGTGGTTGCACCTCAGAATTATATAACTCATCAATTATTTCATGACCCCCATTTTTTAGGCTAACTACAATCTCAAAGCCAGTTCTCATCCACCTACCCCATTTCATTAAAAACTGAATGGTCCATGACTGTGTTAAAAATAACTTGTCAACCTTTCCCCTCCTACTCCGACATAGTGAAACATTTCAATAGATACATTCTCATATCAGTGCAAACAAACCAGGCCATAAAAAACTCACCGGCGACACTAAACAAACACGTTTGCGCATGCGTGCATTTTAGCACGTTTTCTAAGAATTTTGAAGAGTTTGAGCATACGAAACATTTCACGAGTATACTTTTGACAGACCAAGATACTATATTAACAAACACAATATGAAAGAATTAGCCTTAAGTTTTGAGCATAGACACTAAGTTTTGGCATTTTGTGAAGTCCAACTTATCAGGCATGTTTGAAAGTCAAATTTACATATGTTTTAACTAATTTGCATACGGATTCAGAGCATGCGCAGACGTTTTTCACTAGTGTCCCCGGCGGCCAACCAGTCACTTGAAGAAAAAAATGTAAACACCAAGAAGTGCATGATTGTCCTTAGGTAAATATCGAGTTTTTAGTTCTACTTTATAAATTATGTCTTGTAATAAAAAATAAGACTTTCTTTTCATAGCTCTCAAACACGGGGTTAACCAAAGACTTCTTCCCAAGTGAGATCAAGTTAATCACTTAAACTTAAAAAACTCAAAGGCCCATTACTAAACTTATATTTATATCGTAAACGAGTTTTTGAATCTGTGTTGCTTTTATTCTAAGAATGGGAAAGAATGAAACTTTTTCTTTCAATTTTTTGAAGAAAAAATAGTTTTTCTGTTTGATTAGCTGATCTTTTATTTGTCATTTTTGTCACAGTACGTTTGACTTGAAATGACACCAGTGATGATTAAAAGCCGTGTAACCAATTTACCTGGCTCTTTTCTAGAAGGTATATCTATCTAATTTCCATGCATATTATGATCCAAGTTTTCTTAAAATCTGTAATACTTTATGTAATGAAAATAAACAAAACTAAAAAACACTGGCAACCATTTAAAAAATGTAAGCATCAACAAGTGACAAAGTAAACATCAACTAACAAAATGTCAAATTCGTCAGGTTTATTCACAACTTTCCACTATTCATCCTTTCTGCCTTCGAGTAAACTTTTGCGCTTCATTTACACTTGGAGTAAGAGCGACATTTACATTTTAGATGAACATTTCTTTAAAATTTGACATCAGTTTTTTTATGTGTATATTGGAATATATTATCAAATGGTAAATTAAAGCACTCGGTGACTACCTGTCAAGTAAGCTTGTTCATTTATTTAACTTCGCTTGTACAAGGGTATTACATTAGAGAGTTCTCACCAAAAGTGTCGAACGATATTTCTGAGCTTTTGGTTTAATTTTTTTGAGTAGAAATGTCTAGCAACAACTCTTCTTTGTTCATCAATGCATTTCAACGGGAAAACAATACTCATGTTCATCTCCAAGGCTTTGAAATTCGTATTTTGACAAGGTGTTTCTTCTTCGTTACAATGATAATCGCTGTTACTGGAAATGTTTTGGTAATTACAGCCATTGCCACGAGCACAAAGCTGCAGTCTTATAAGAACAACTGGCTTTTGTGCAATCTAGCTGTAGCCGATTTGCTTCAAGGAGCAATTGCTGTACCTCTGAGAATAGTGGAAACGTTTCCAAGTTTTGCTAACTACATCAGCTGTCGCGTTGCAATCCCTTTGAGTATCTTATTCGGTGGGACATCCAACATTACTATCCTTTTCATCAGCGTCGAACGATTCCTAGCTATTTATTACCCATTTTTTCACATTGATTTTTTCACGAGTAAAGTAGCTAAGAGTCTTATTGGTTTTTCGTGGTTCACAGTTGGTTTCTTCTCGTTGATATCAGCGACACATCTTACTTGGAATGAGAAGAACCCTTCCCAACACATGAGATTTTGTAGGTTCCCTGTTTATCTGAGGAAAGAATACATCTGGAGTCTATATTCTTATGTTCATATTATCCCAATATCTTTGGTTGTAGTTCTCTATGGCTTCATCCTGAAGGCAAGCTGCCAACAAGCTCATCGAATTCACCAACAGAACGTTGCCGTCTGTATAAACCGTTTCTCAAGAAGCGGGAAACTCACTCTCAATGCAAAATCTAGCTCCAACCTCTCTCTGTACTTGAAGAAGTTTAAAGGCATCAAGGTAGTGTCTGTGGTTGTGGGTCTTTTCATTGTTTTAGTCTTACCTATCGTTGTCATAGATGTGATAGATGTTGTACAAGGGACGAGGCCTTCTCCAGACGTTGTACAACTAGCAGTGTGCATGATATATGCCAATAACTGTGTGAATGTTTTTGTTTATGCTGGATTCAACCAGGAGTACAGACAGAACTTTAAGAGGATTCTTAGACGAATATTTTGTTGGTCAAGGAGATGTTGACATAATATTATCTAAAAGTACAAATATCACATTCGACCGACTAGTTAACCGATCGACCAGCTGCACAAGCCACCAAGAAACCAACCGGACGTACAACCAATAATTTAAATAAGAGAATTCGCAAAAGATCTTTTTCAAGGCGTCTTTGACTCTATAGTCATTTTTGGCATTTCAAATGATTTAAAGATGCATATTTGGCCACACAAGCCATGCACCAAGAAACCAACCAGACAACGAAAATTAAGTCTAAAGAGAATTTGCGAAATACCTTTTTGAAGGCGTCCTTGACTCAATAGTCAGCTTTCATTTCAAATTGAGTTAAAAATGAATGTGATCTAGAATACTGGATTTTTTGATCGACCTGTCAACTGACCGACTAAGCTGACAAGAAACCAATCGTATGATCTAAACGTACCAGCAAATCATGTAATCTACCGACCAATCAACTCCTAAATAACAGACCAGTGGTCGCTAGAAACTGGTTGCCCCTCTGTATGTCCGACCAAGGCAAACCGACTGATAAACCAAGTAACTAAATGATCAAAGAATACTTTAAAAATGTAAAAGTAGAGTACAAATATGTGCCAGGAAACTGTGTGAAATAAATAATAAAAGAAGGACGCCCTTTACTAAAGATGAGATAAACATCGTTGTCATATTGACATCTTTTTTTGACACTTAAACTTTATCAAAGAATCAAATCGTCGAATGTGACAGTTGATTGCTCTTCGCTTTGACCACGAGAATTTTTTTTATAGTTCTTGGTTTGTTCTCGACAAAATGACGCCATTTTAATTTTTCTTACTAGATAAACCTAAGCCTCTAAAGACCGACTATACCCCCATGTAGATTATCACTGAGTGACTGGGATTTAAAATCTGGAAATCCCGGAGAAGAACCCTTGTGTAAAGGAGAGAGCGATAGAGAATAACAAACTGTAATTGAACAAGCGCAATGTCCAAAACGCATTTATATGGCCGAACAGAAACTGCTTTTTGACACGATCGCCCCATAGTAAAGCATGCACCCCTTTTGTTAAGTTAGGTTTAGGATTGTTTGGAAGACCAATTTATTTATTTTTTGATCCAGTTATGAAACTCAGGAGCGTAAATCCAACCCAGACCATACAGACCCCCCCCAAAATCCACATATCAATGATAAAGATCATCAGTATGCCTAGCCCCGTGTTCTTTACTTGCATACGCTTGTGTTACCATGGTTATCAGCATGTGTCTGACACTTCTCCATCTGTCGATTTTAGCTGTGTTTTTATCAACAACTTTCAAAAGCGTAGGACGTTTCAATCAAGCAATATAAACTGAAGAGTTGGTTCGCTTCAATAAGACTCACCAGCTATAAATTTTTTATGTACTCATTAGAATATGAATCGTTGTTGTTTTACAAGGAAAATAAGAATCAATAAAAAAGGGACCGGTGCAGATGCCTAAAGTAGTTTATATTTATAAAAATAAGAGAGTTCACATAAATACTTTATATATCATGAATTTCATACAAATACATACCAAGTTTTATTATCATTAACTCGAGTTATTTTTCTCGGATTAAATTAGGGCATAACATTTTTATAACTGAATGGTTAATTCTTACTGAAAACCAGAAAATGTTTTCGTTATTATTCGTTGATTTTTTACAGCCTCAAAAAAGGAATTTCTATGGCTTCAGTCTTTCACTGATTTCTATATTTTTGAAGTGCATGTGACGTCACAGCCGCCATCTTGGATAACTTTAGCTGAGATTCCATCTTGGCTTTCTTTCTTCTGATTCGTCGACCAGCATGGCGGCCATTGTTTTGTTTTTTTTTTAATTTTTTATATTCTAATGAAAAAAGATTCACGCCAAGAATTCAAAGAAACCCCTTTGTTTAAGTCAATGATTATCAACTATTATATTCGGGGCAAATGTAACGATTAGTTCTCTTCAATTATTAATATTTGTATGAATTGCGCATGCGCTCTTCGTGGTATTGGCCGCTAAAAACACAATTATTCTATTTGTTTTATGAAGTTTGTTATTTATTTATGAATTTAATGAATTTTTCGAGATTCTTTTTCGGCTTTAACTTTGTTCAAACACAGCAGGCTTTTGAGGTGGAACAGTTTCGACAAGGCTTGTTCAGGACTGCACGAGATTTAGATTATATAACAATCTCGTCTCAATGAATCCTAGAGCGATCAGTCAATCTAGTAAGGACATTTTCGTGCCAAAATCAGGTTTGTAAAGAATATTTACTTTAGGGATTTTAGGGATTGTTGTGTTTTTACGAGCAATGCTAAGTGGATTTTTGTGATGCAGTGTTAGCCGCGGTCTTGTCTTCGCTACGTGTTAGTTAGAGTATAGGAAGAGTGCCGCTTTTCTAAGAGATTTCGACTTATTTTTTTGTGAACAATTACCCATAATAGAAACCTGAATCCTACAAATTTGAATTTTCCCTTGCATTTTCATGAACTTGGCAAACCTTCTTCACAACTCGAGGCGCTTACATTAAAATCATTCCATCATCTTGGAAATTCGTAATGGTATGAAAAGAGCGGAAAACTTAGACTTCGAAAAATGGTACACGCGTCTATCGGAAGAACCGAAAAGAGCGGGAAAAGTAAATTACCTCAATTGGAAGCCCTAGTTTTCCGGCATTTCAATGGGAATAACGTGTGCCATTTGCTTTTCCAACCGGAATTTCCGGTTTTACTGGGTAAATGCCAAGCACCCCTGAAGATCATATTTTCCTCAAAATCACTGTCCAATACTCAGACTTGCTTCTCTACTACTCTCGTCCGCCATTTTCGGATACGGGATTAAGCAGTAGACTGGGCCACTTTATCACATCGTCACCGCGTGATCCTTCCGATTAGCTTAGGTGATTCTAAAAATAACTTTGTTTGTTTGCTTTTTTTAATTTCAGTCCAAAATTCATTTTTTGAACCAATCACAGCACTCACAGGAAGGCGCTTACCGTCACGTCCGCCACATTTTGTTCATTGAGCTTTTCGCAGTCACACCAAATCTGCATTAATGAAAACAAACCAGATTTTCGCCGCACCTCTGTATAGAAGATTTTTTAAATAGTAACCCCCCCTTCAATAACTGAAGTCGCGAAAAACCAATTCCCCATCTCAAGTACTTCTCGTTTTAATTTTGAATTTTTTGAGTTTTAAGCAATTACGAAAAGTAAATAAAGGTTTCAAGTATTAATTCGAATTTAACTAAGTAAGTATAGCACCAGGGGTAAACAAGATTCACTGTGCAACCAGCTGCCCTGAAAAGAATTCAGTATATATCACTGTGATACTGTTTGAGCTTTAGGAGCTATAACAATGCTATGTTATGCCATTTGCCGCGTATCACGTTCGTGCGAGGTACTTATAATAATTTGACAGCTTTGGTTTTGATGGCAAATATTTAAAGCGAAGCCTTTTCTATGTATATATTCTTGTAAACGCATCTTTCATATGCTCTTTCCTGCCTTGAGGAGCTACAATCTTGGACAAAAAGAGTTGAGAATTTTTTATCCAATCATGAAATAGTAGAATTTTTCTTATTTAAAAAAATATTGTTCGTACCCCCCCCCCCCTCCCCCAAGACAATGTTGGTCCCAGTAGGTAAAGCAGCCCTGTATCCTTCGAAACACCATTGTTTAGGGGGGGAGGGGGTCGTTTTAAGGGGAATTTTTTATGTTTTTCATGAAAATACCATCAAAACCAAAAATTTCTCAACTTTTTTGACCAAGATTGTAGGTGCGAACTGATGCCTTTTTGTGTCTAATTTTTCCTCTTTCTTTCTTTCGTTCTCTCTCTCTTTCTCTCTCTCTCTCTCTCTCTCT